CAAAGGTAAGGCTCAGTCCTTATAAGAAATGCAATGAATAACTTCATATACACCCCCTCCACTTATTTCTGCAGAGGCTAATTTTTACTTCATTGTGATTAGTGTCAGGACTCCCTCAGTGTTTGGTGGAACTGAGGTTTGATCTCTCTGGCCTAAGAACTGACTTGTGTAGTTTAAGGAGTTGTATAGAAAAATAGGAAACTACTTTGCCAAATATTGCCCAAAGGAGTTTCTAAATTTGGAAGAAGGTGTGGGGCTCTGGATCTGATATTCAGAGATGCTGGGTAATCCCAGCTGTCGTTGGTTTTCATGGTAGTGAATTCAGCACTTTGAAATGAGGGAATTGGATTTTCGCATCTGGCAATGCAAAAGTATTGGTCTTATTTTAAATTTTAGTTCTTTGAGTTTGCTATAGTAATTATAATAATTATGGCTACTTTATTGCTTAGTTTTCACAATGCCCTTTGATAAAGAAAAATGTGTTTATGTATCTATATCTATCTATCTATATATCTGTGAGCTTATTTTTTGATTTTTTTAATGCTTTCCTTATTTAGTTCAACTTGTACTTTAAAATAATTTAATTTGGCAGAAGCTGTTTTAATTCTGAGTAAACCTTAGTTTAAAGCTGTGGACATGGTAATGAGATTTGATTATAGTGAGTATGGGTTTTAAAAAACCTTAGGGTATAAAAAATACAGGGTTTAAAAAACCTACATCAGTTCAGGGTGGATCTAAAATCTGATATTCTACTACATTAGATCCTGTTTATTTCTACTAGTAGAGCTTGGTTAGGAAAATGAATTCAAACCAAGATTCAGATTTGGATTTTTCTGTATCTGTCAGAACATAGAACATCCAGATATTCAGCTGTGAATGCCTTAGACAAACTTCCACTTCTGATTTGGATTCACAAGGGTTGAAGAAAATATTTAAACAAAATATCTTTTTACTTTTCTGCATTACAAAACTAATAAAAGGAAGCTAAGATGGAGAAAGCCAAAGGTTCTCTTCAGTGCTGAAAAACAAAGTGAAGTAGCTTCAGCATAGGGTAAGTAGTGTAAGTGCAGTGCTAGGGGAAGAAGAATTTGGACCTACTGAGTCTAGCAACCTACAGTGTTTTGTCTCTGTTGTCAGCAGAAGGTTGCACTGTATGTTCAAAATTTCTGAGCTAATAATTATGCTCTATTTTTCAAGTCAGAAAGAGACTGAGTCATTTGACTTAACAAAATTTAAGGTGTGATCAATCTCATTGTAGTGTAGATCAGCAAAAATAGGTCAGATGAATCATTTTTAAATGCTTGTTTTTCTTCTTTAGCTAAAAAAAAAAAAAAAGCTTAAATTAACTAGCTCAGATATAGACATATACTCTCTGTGGGATTAAAATATGATAAAATAAAGCCCCCACAAAATATTCACTGTTCCCAGCTGGATTAAATAGGCTGTAGTATGTTTGGTCTGGTTCAGTCTTAGCTGGTCACATAGCTGAGGCACTGGTCGGTACTGAAAATCTAATTGCCTTAAAAAGCTAAAAACCTAAGATTTTGGGATATATTTCTGTCTTAACTGTATACCTGCAGGCAATCAGTGTGCTGCTAGTTGGACTTACATGTTGATGTAGACCTGCTTAAAGCACTTAACTGAGTAGAAAGAAACACTGTGTCCCTCCAGATTTGTTTCCCTTCTGCCCACCACTGGCTAATGAATCAACTTTCTCAAACACTTTGCAGCCAGCGAAAGGAGAAAGTGTTTGTTAAGAGACTAAGACCAAGGAATGAAATCTATGGGATATTGAGGTGTCTCCAAGTTAAAACATCCCAAGAGAAGGATATTTCATCTGGGAAGCTTTGGGTTTACTTTTATGCTGTAGGAAAGTAATTCAGGAAAGGTTAATGTCATACTGAAGGGGTGGCAGAAGCAGTACCACTAATTGTCACTTCTATTAAAGATATGTTGCATCTGTTGCCATGCCAATTATATGAGGAGATCTTTTTGTAGGTCAAGTGGCTCTACATTATTAATCCTAGAGTGCATGTATCTGAAAAAAGACAAATACGGAGAACATTAGTGAAGTTTAGGTGTACACATCTTATTAGAAACTGAAAAGCTGTAGGAGTCTCTGAGTGTGCTGAAAGGATTATTTTATTAGGCTTTTTGTTTTACCAGTTCATTCCTTTTGATGTTGAATATCCTTTTTTATTTCTTCCCTTTAATTTCAGACCAATTCTTTAACTTAAATCTGTTACCTTGCACTGTCTCAGGGAAAAGAGCTGAAACTTCTCCTACAGTTTTCCAGCTTGTCCCTCTTTATAACTCTATTTTCAGAGTTTAACTTGGGATTTGCCAATAATTGACCACGAGTTCAATTTTTTTGATCAACACCCCCTTTTTTTTGTAACTTTCTGCAGTTTCCTAAGTTTGCTACTGTTGCCTTGATTATGTATTGTGTAAGGAATTGGATTTCTTGAAATTAAGCTGATTCTTGATTTCATCAATAATGAGTATCCATCAAGCTAGATTTATTAAACTCAATCTAACCAGTATTTGTCTTTAACAAGAGATTAAATATATACAGTTCCTGAGGTTATGAATGTTCTTTTAATTTGCCTCCAAAGTTGCTACTAAGTTACTTCAGTATTTTCAGAGAGCTACGCCTTCCAAGGATCTGGCAGAGGAGATAGATCTTGCTTCCTAACATTGCTATAATCAAGCTGTAGCCATTTTGTATGCCTTCTCTGGCTTTGTACCAAAAATATACAGTTGGTTCCCCCTTTGGTTCTCCTCCAGTGTCTGCTGCTCTTCCTTCTTGACTCCACAGCTCTGATCCATGCAACCTTCCTGCCATCAAACACCACACTGTTCCAGTCGTGCCTCTTTCAGTTCTCTGGTTCTTCCTATTAATCTTCTGGTCTGTAGTTGAGGGAGAGGAATTATGAAATAATTTATATTGACATTTATAAACCTTATCTCTCTCCTACTTTAATTTGGAATATAATTGAAGCATGCAACATGCTTTAAAAGGGGCTGAAGTTAAAAACGAGGTTCCATGACCTAACTGGGTTATCCATAGTTTGAAACAGTCTAAGAGGAAGTAATAGTTGTCTAAGAGTTATAATTCTTTCAGTGATGGAAGGAGTCATTTTATGACAAATGCTAATATACTTCAAAGGTAGAGGGAACAGGTGAAAGTGAAGCCACTGCTTGTACTAAAACTTGAAAGTCACCCTATCAGTGCTCTTTCAGAGTAAAACTGACAAATCTCATGAAATATCTAGTTCAAATGTGTTTGCCATTGACTAGCAGGCATTTGTTTCCAAAGGTGGTAGAAGCAGTTTTCATTCTTCCTGCCTTCTCAGTGATTGATCTGTTTCTTTTTGGTTTTCTTTCAGAGAACTTAATTGCACTATGTTTATTCAAAAACAAGCACATCAAATGTCACAATATTAGCATAATCATAAAAATGTCAAGCATTCAGTGCATCTGCAATATGTCAGAGCTTCCTACAGAACATATTTTTTCATGCGATCGATGTGAGTCTCTGGAAAATGCCTTTGAATGGGCATCTCTTAAAAAGGCGACTAATAGTTGCTACACATTATTCCCATTAGGGAAAAGAATAGTTTGTCCCTAAAGTAGAATAAAATTGGTCCTTAAAAGCAGTAGATCCTAAAGGAATAGACAGATGTAAAAGGTCATCTGAGAAAGGGAAAGTTTACTGATAGAATCATAGAATGATCTGAACTGGAAGGGACCTAAAAGACCATCTAGTTCCAACCCCCTTGCCATGGGCAAGGACATATTCCACACTGCTGTGTCTGGCTGACTGTATTGATCTGCACCTGCAAGAACCTGGAAACCTGGATCACAAATTTCAGTGCCTGTCATAATCTGGATGCTACCATTTGTATCGTGGGTAGTATTGCTTTTTAAATATAGATAGTTGACTAATGCTGTATATTTAAGATGACTAGATAAGTTAAAAAGCATCTGATACATACTAATACATGTACTTTTTAAATTGCATCTAAACTTGCACAGACTTTGTTGCACTGCTTGTACTCACTGCAATGCATTATTTGGGTCAGCAATTTAATGGAAGGATTTGGGACTGTGAATCTCAATGGTAAGGATGTAAGTGTGGGAAATGGGAGTTTCAGATACACTCTGTAAAGCAACTATTATAACTTTCTATGCAGGGTACCTTCATCTTTCTTGGCTGTTACAGATGGAAATAGCCAAAAATGCAATAAAAAATTTGGACATAGGAACCCAATTTATTAGTAGTGCAGTATTTTGCTCCCCAACATCCTCTTTTGGATTGTTTCCAGAGGTCTTCGCTTGATTTGTGAAAGCTGTCTTCATCAAGCTCTTGACTGCAGTTGGTGAGACTGTTATCTTAAAAGATTCCTTGGAATTGTTTTTTCTGTGCATGGAAAGCTGTCTTGTCATAGACACAGTCTGCAGTGTTCTGGTATGATCCCAGGAGAGGAATGCAAGCATGCTGTGAGCATGGGTCTCCTCCTCCTTATAGCCTCTGAACGTCCTACTAGGATTTTCTGAGGAGTACCTATAGTATCACAGGACAGCTCTGTCTTACTGCCTTTGTTCGGATTGGCAGAAGTTTGTTTTTTGCACATTTGCCCTTGTGAAAAATACAATGGAATATAAATACGTCACACAGCTGGCAAAATGTGCCAAACTTCTAAATGTGTTTATGGAAAACAGTGGCCTGGTAAGCCCCTCCGTTTATGCTAAGGACAGAATCATACTGGTGGTCTTTCCTAATGTCTCCTAGTCTTCTCCCTTTAAGGAATAAAATTAAGTCTCTCTGCCTGGTTCTTACTGACCAGTGCAGTAAGTTAAGTCTTACTGCACTGGGTAGGAACTGACAGCAAATGGCTGGATCTGCATCCTCTAACTGCTCTTCTGAGCTGTTCTGTCCCGAGACAGTATATTTATGCTGCTTTTTTCTTCCTCTTTTTTTTTTTTTTTTCCTACAGATACCCTTCTGTGCCTCACAGCATGTTTGATGTTCATTGAGGTCATGTGTAGCTGCATGTCCCTCTCCAGGAGCAGAAAGGAGGTAAGGGTGGTTTCAGTCTGTGAACTGATTGTGAATGAAGGGAAGCAATGTGCCCACACACACATGGACCCACTGCAGTGAGTGAAGAGGACATTTTGCTCATTCCTTCTAATTCATGTGTCCTTACATTCTTCTCTGGCCTAGGACATTTGACTCCCTCTCGTGTAGTGTTTGAACACGTTTGAACACCTCTACTCTGTGCTAGTCTGCTGTGTATCACTTCATATTCCCTGAAGTGATGGGATTGTATCAGAGATGTCAGAGGACATGGATTTGGCAGCAGAAAGCACTGATAATAAAAGAGCTGCAAGTCAGATTTTGTAATCCATCTGCTGGACATCCAGGTCCCAAGAATGGATTCAAATATACATGTGAATATTTCAGAAAACATTTTGTGTAAGTGAAGTATAGAAATAACCTCCTTCAAAATCCTAAGCACTGAACTCTTTACAATTGCCTATGTAATGTGTACTTTTCTGATAATTAAATTTTGATCTATGCTAATTTTCAACAAGTAAAAACAGGTCTTGCCTTTACCTCGGGAATATGAAAAGTTAGCAGCAGAGAGTGCTTGCCTGCAGAGCGGTAAGGCCAGTGGAAAAAAACAGGATTTTGGTGTTGAAAAGTAGAAAATAATGTAAATGCATGTAAAAAACATAAGCAGTTTTCTAAATTATTTGCAGTTATCTTTTTTAATCCATCTGCAAAGATGAAAATGTCAGACTTTTCCAAAGTCTCTCTTTAAAATGAGTTTTGAAGGCAGTTTCCAGGTAATGTGCATTTTCCATTCAGCAACTCATGTGATACCATGCAAGGTTCCTACCCTGCTCCTGCTAAAGGCAATTTAAGATTTGATATCGGTGTAATGAAGACAATAGCAAAATATTTCAGACATACAGTCATCCCTCAGGATGAGGGTTCCTTCCCTGTCACACAGACCTGTGTACACCTGCAGGAGGATGGAGGGATTTTTGGAGAAGAGTCTCTGCACTGCCAGGAGCGTCTTCTAGTCTGATGTGGAGATGCCCCGTGGGAATTGCTGCCTCTGAAGTCAGTAGAAGGGGTTTTAGGGTGTACAGTGTGTAACAAGGGGACAGCTGCAGCTCCTCTGCCCAGGTTGAGGCAGGGCAGCTCACGAGTCATTCTTCCTTGTCCTTTTTCTCTTGTGAATGAGAGTTGCAAAAGGGTGTGTCTTGTTGCACTGCCAGCACAATAGTCACATTCTCCAGCTGAATTTGTAGACTTGCACTTAAATATCCCCAGTCTGCTCTCTGATTTGCTAGCCAAAATGGAGTTTTCACATCAAGTCTGTAGATGATTCATACTGCCTTCTTTTCTTTCCTCTAGGAGACTTGGATTTTATTCCTTCGCTAACACTGTCTACCTTTAGAAAGGACAAGCCATTGCATTATGGCCTCATATGAAGTCACTAACTTTTGCATGTCAAGAATAAAAGAGAAATTTATAAACAAAATGGGAAGCATGGTAAGATGTCAAAGAAAGGGGAAACAAAAGAGTGTGATCCAGAATGTTACATCTCTTTGTGGGTGACTTCACAGATGCAGACTGAAGGGACAGACCTTTTTACTGTTACTCCTCAGAACCAAAAGATAAAAAATTGCTTTGCTGGAGGCCACTTCTTCCTGACTGCATTCATATACAGATGATTTGTTTCAGTGCACAGGGACATATCCTGCAGTGTTAAAATCAATGGGAATTTTGCTGCTGAAAATAGGAAATACATTTTATCTCTATTTCTGATAATTGATGTCACAAGATTTTGGAGGGGATTTTACTGCCCTTAAAAGCAATCTCATCCTGTGTTTTATTCCTGGTACCTAATACCTCCATTGTAAATGGCATTTTGCTGTGTCTGTTACCCAGGATGCTGTCCCTTGTGAATTCAAGGAGAAGGTTACACAGTGGAAAGGCATAAGAAGCCAGCATTTATAGAGAAACAAGTAATTAAGGCAGCTGAATAGAGGAGGACGCATCAAAAATAACAATTTAAGAAAGTAAGTGTCTGAGAACAGGATCCAGGGAGGTGAGGTTTCAGGTGAACTCATAGCACAGAACAGTTATGGTTATACTGGATTCTCGACTTGTTGCACTCTCAGCTGCTCCTTCCTCCCTGGAGTCTTTCCAGGGCAGATGGTGCAGCTGAGGCTGCATGGCCTGAGGCAGTGTTGGAGCAGCATGCTGTTAGCTGGCTTAGCACAAATTATTTGTGTTTTTTTTTTCTTTCTCTGTCCCTGAAATGTAAGCTGAGGCTGAACTCTGGACTTACTGTTTTCCTGTTGTTGAATCCATAAAGATTTAGACTGTAATAATGGGAACAGATTGTATCTTTTCTTGTCTTTGGATGGTTTGACAGCACGTCAGTGTTAGCAGTGGTTTTCAGAGCAGTAAGGATTACCTGTCTGTCATATTTTCCTTTTCCCATTTACACTGATCCCAAAACTGAATTGCCTGAACAGCCAGTCTGAAGGCCTGAAGAGAGAATCCATGAAAATCTTTTTTTTTTTTTTAATTTTAAAACAATCAAAGTTTCTTGCACCAGTTAACTTTCTAGAGCCTGTGCAAACCTGGGTTCTTGTTGTTTTAGTGAAGTACTGTCAAGGCTATGCACAGCCACAGTTTTCTAGTTTCTTTCCCAACGTCTGACTCCAAGCAGGCTGAATCTGTATGTCAGGGAGGTTGGTATTCCCCGTAGTAATATTTCTGTGGACCATCAGCTAGTGGATCATTCTGAAGACCACCAGCAGCAACTCTCATTCAATAGGCAGTGGTTGCAAATTCAAGTAGGGAAAAGAGTTCTGGAAATTTTATCCAAGAATGGAATTTTTCTCCGTATTTAATTTTTTTTCATAGTTCTATGAAAGTTATAGAAAATCATATTTACATGTCACTCTGAAGCCTTCACATCTTCTCTTAAAGTTGTTTTCAATCTAAGTCTTCAGTAGAAGGGCTAATTTTAGGTATTTAGTTATACTTTTTTTTTCTCCTAAGTAGAAAATAGAAAATAAATTTTTACAGGATGCTGTTCATTTTTTTCTTCAGAACTTTAGGAGTGTTAAAAAGATGTCACTTAATTTGAACAGTAGCAAAGCTGAGCCCCAACAGAGAAGTATGCAATCTTTCTCAAGACATGTCAAGACATCCCCCTGCAGCTGTAATAGGCTATCAGCACATCTCCACCCTTTCACCAGGGGCAACCTCTTAGAGGCAACTTTGTCTTCAGACTTCACCTGTATATCATCTAATCTCAACTTGTGTCAAAAGACCCAGTAGCTCTCTGCCTGTCTGCTGGGAACATTGATCCACTCACCACAACTATGTACAAGATGTGAAGTCTTTCCTTCCCTTGCAGTCCTTCTCACTCTTTCTCTCTTAAAAAAAAAAAAAAAAAAGCTGTCAGTATTTCAGAAATTGTGAGCAGCAGATCTTTGTGTACTTTAATCCATAAATAAACATTTCTTCTTTTGAACTTCATTAAAATTGGATGTGTTTTCACTGTAAAACACTCCAGCATCCCTATCATTTAGACATATACAGTGATGAATATTGCAATTAAGTTTTGTCTGTGGGAATAATTGTGGTCTGGAAATACTCAATTTATGCCAAAAAAGTAAATAAGTATCAGACAACAAGATATACTGCTTATAACAGTAATTTTAGACCAAGATATTAAGCTCTGCTCATGCTGTTTTAACAGGTTGGGCCAAATGCATCTTTGTTATTATGACCGAGCTTGCAGGGAAGTTGTGGAAAGGTGAGTTTGGTTTGACTTGTGCACAGTTATGTCTGACTTTCTTTGGTAAGACTTGTTGATGTATCACATTCAAATCTCCAGCTTTTCCTTCTCTGCCTTTGACCTGAAGAAAGGAATTCCTGCTTTAAAATGCTCATCAATCAGTGCTGCATAGTTAAGCTGATAAAAAAGCTAAGGCTAAGCCAGTGTTAATTTAACCAACTGTTACTTTACTGACAATATTTGTCAGCAAATAATTTTAATTAGACTAGCATAATGATATCAGTAGTCTAAAACTAAGCAAATGACTAAAATTAAAGAGGGGTTCTGATGACAAACAAACCCTAATGAGAGTAAGAATGATTTTTTGCCACCAACGTCTGAGTATCCTGTGGAAATGGAGAGACAGCCCTAATCACATGAGAAATCACTCAGAAATGATGCTGGTGTGCTGGAATGCTGTGTTGGTGTCAGGAAGGCTTGCAAAGTTTGGGCAAGTGCAGTGTAAACTTCCTGTGCAGCCTTGCATGTCGCTGACGCTCTCCCTCTGCACTGGTGGGGCTCACTTGTGTACCTGCCTTACATGCTGTGCATGGAACAGGGCAGGGAAGGGTTGTGGAAGGTTAGATTGAAGAGGCAGCAGGTACTTGTGCTGGGAGGTGATACAGTGGAAGGGCAGGTGGAATAGAACCTACAGAAGTTTGTGGCTGTAATTAAGAAGAGGTAGTCAAAAAATAGGAAGAGTAGGCAGGGAAAAATACAGTATTTGCTTTAAGAAAGAAGTAAGAATAGAGAGGCAAAAACAAAACTGTTTTTTGGTGTCTGAGAATGGAAATGTTTGGGCTGAATAGCCTGATGCTGTATTTGTCTCTTTCTCTCCCTACACAGATTCTTTGTTCTGATTTCTGGTGGAGTATTCTGGCCCTGGTGTTATTCCCCCCGTCTGCCCACCATCTTCCTGAGACCTGCTGGCAGAGGGAGCTTTTCACAGCCTGAAGTGTTGATTCTGAAGTGTGAAGGAAACAGAACCACGCTGGATGATGTGACTCATCTTGGAGAAGTTGGTGTTTTTTGGCTGAGGAAAAGTGTTAAGTTTCAGCCTTGCTAGTCCAGGTGTTTTAATGGATATTGCTGTAAGAGAAACCCTGGTCTGCTTGTCTTGCTCAGTCCTGAATAGGAGAATAACAACTTACATGCTAACATAAATGTTTAATGATTTATGATTAAAAAAAAAATTAGATGGCAAGCAAAATGCTAGGTTAATTGATTATGGAGTCCTAAATTTCCCAAAATGTAGCATTCCAGCCAAATATGGCTGAAATATCAGCTGTCATATGATGAATATTTTAAAGAAGATTCTATTATACACCTAGGGGTTCATTCGCTTCAGTAATGAGGACAGTTACCTCTAGGGAAAGGAAGCTATATTATACTTGCCACTTAACCAGGGGCTGGTTTGACAGGCATCAGCTCAGAATATATGTGTATATATAGGGAATCACAGCAGCTTGTCTCTAGCTTACTGAGCAGGAAATGTTGTGCTGTACAATTCTTTGGGTTTCTATCTATGGATTTGTGGATGGCACTGAGTGGGATTCAGACTATTTTTATTCCTGAGTCTGATTGTTGAGGTGGAATCCATCACCTACTAAATATTAAATCAGCAAGTTTTTTAAAGAGCAACACTGTCTCTGCTGACTTGAACATCCTTATGTGGCCCAGAGGAAAAGAGAAACAAAGACAAGATGAGAAAACTATCGTCTTTGGCATTCTTCTTAATATTAATGATTTCTCTAAAGTTTTCAAACTGTTGAAGGCAAAAAGTGAGATATAACTTTCACATGGGTAAGAAATGACCCAGGTGAAAAAAAAGCATACATTATAAAAACTGTGGTGAAACTTCTGGAGTTGAATTATTAGTTGGAAGAGATGAAGAAAATGCATCAACAGATTATTTTTTAAACAAGTTTTGTTTAATTGTTTCCAAACAAACA